CAGACAACACAGCGAATGCACGGCTGAGGACAAGGGGATGGGTCGCAGTCAGGGGCCGGCACACAGCACTCTTGGTAATTAAGAAGAGGCCCTGCTGTTTCTGTTGTGGTTTGCCAACTATTCATGATGAAAACATTTCCAATTCTCCCACAGCCTTGGAGAGTTTGCATCTGGGGACAGACAAATGCCCAGTGATCCACCCCAACAGCAGCCAGGCCGCGACTGAAACCAGGAGCAAAGCAGAGCCTGAGAACAATGCACACTGTGACTCTACCGCTCTCACAAACAGCAGTTGAATATCAAGTACATTTTAATGGCCACAGATTAAACTCAGAATCCAGCTCAGGGAGCAAGAGTTTAATTGCCTCCGTCTGTGGTTTTCTCCCATCAGGGGAAAACAGCGTCTGGCTTCCGAATCTCACAAACAACCCAATCACAGTAAGCGCTGCTAACTGGAGGGTGGGAGAGGATGGGGAGAGGTCGGAGGGTCTCCTCTGTCTTTCGCTCTTCACATCTCCTCGGTGCTCACATAACACTGCAAAGAGGAACCGTCCCAGCCACGCACTCTGATGCCCTAAGTCACCATCCCAGCCCCGCCCCCCAGTCCTGCTACTTCCTCAGGTAGGGTCCAGTGTTCTCTTCCTTGTCCCCCTGCTGAGGGTCCTTAGCTCCCCCTACTTCCCACCAAACCTCCCCTCTGCTGAGGCCAGAAGTGAGGTTTCATCTAGGGCACAGACCTGGCCCCTCGTGCTTCACATTTTGGGGATGGCTTTGTCCCGGGCCAATGCCCAGGCCACAGGGCCTCTCCTGAGCCAACACAGAGCATCTGATTTCACCCGTGCTAAAGCAGAAACCACCAGGCCTGCTCAGCGCATGCCGCCTTCTTCTCTTTCTCCTTTCAACTACTGGTTTTATTTCTCTCCCGTGTGCCAACCATATTCTCATTTGTGCCAAAAGCAAAAAAAAATCAAATGCAGTGAAAGTGTGTGCTCTAATCCAGGAAAGTTAGTACCACTTAGCAGAGCGAAAACTAGGCAAGCTGCATAACTCCTTCACTGCCAACAGCAAATTCAAGGCACTCAGTCAACTGGGACTGGGCAATGCAAATAAAAAAACAAAAGGAAGGAGAAGAGGGTTGTGAGGTGGACTCTAGGTGCATCCTACCTGGCTCCATTATTCCTGCATGAGTGGGAATAAAGGGTCAAAGTCAGAGATCTGAAAGACCTTTCGGAAAACAGAATGGGAGAACTGAGCACACGCAATCTCTCAGTGGTGTTTACAAAGGGATCCCTGCTCTCCAAGAACTAAAACAGGCAACCTCAGCTGGGCATGGCAGTGCACTCCTATAATCGCCACTCTCTGGGAGGCTGAGGCAAGAGCGTCTCAAGTTAGACCCCCAGAATGGACAATTTTGGAATACCCTGTCTGAAAATTTTTAAGAAAATATGATGTATAAAGCTCCATGCAGGTACTGGCAAAGAAACAGGCCTGAGGATCAGTGGAACAGACTGGAAGACACAAAAACAAATCCAGATGTACTCAGCTACCTCATCTTTGACAAAGTAGCTGACCATCCTCAGTGGAGGAAAGATAGCCTCTTTAATAAATGGTGTTGGAAAAACTGGATTTCAACCTGCCAGAGATTAAAACTGGACCCTTATCTTTCACCATGCACAAAATTAAAATCAAAGTGGATTAAAGATCTAAATATTAAAACAGAAACATTAAACTTGCTGGAAGGTAAGTTAGGCAGAACTCTGGAAGACATTGGCATAGGAAAAGACTTTATGAACAAATCCTCAGTAGCACGGGAACTAGCAGACAGAATCAACAACTGTGATCTCATCTTATTAAAAAGCTTCTGTACTTCAAAAGAAACCATCAGCAGAACTAAGAGACAACCTAAAATGTGGGAAAAAATTTTTACCAGCTGCTCCTCAGACAAAGGACTATTATCTAGAATATATAAAGGACACAAAACAATCAGCACCCCCAAATATAAAGACCCAATTCAAAAATGGACATCCGAAATGAACAGACATTTATCACACAAAGAAGTAAAAGCAGCAAGAAAATATATGAAAAATGCTCCACATCACTGGTCATTCGAGAGATGCAGATGAAAACAACACTGAGATTCCACCTCACCCCACAAAGAATGGCTGCTAACAAATGTTGGCAGGGTTGTGGGGAGAAAGCAACCCTTCTCCATTGTTGGTGGGAGTGCAGACTGGTGCAACCACTATGGAAATCAATATGGAGATACCTCAAAAAGCTAGGTCTAGAGGTTCCATTTGACCCAGCCATCCCTCTGCTGGGTATCGTTCCAAAAGAACTAAAAGAATCATATTACAGTGATGTATGTGCACCCATGTTTATAGCGGCACAGTTTGTAGTAGCTAAAACTTGGAAACAGCCCATTTGCCCATCAGTTGGAAACTGGATAAAGAAGATGTGGTTTTTCTATAAAATGGAATATTACTCAGCCATAAAGAATGAGAAAATAGATTCATTCATAGGAAAATGGATACATATTGAAGATATACTCCTAAGTGAAATAAATAAGTCACACATGTGTAAATATTGAATAGTTTATCTGGTGTGAATAAACTGCAATAATACATAAGATCCTAATAAGATTACTGACATTGTGAAATGGGAAGAAAGGGGCTAAGGGTGTGTAGGGAAGGTGGGATGGGTAGGGGGAGGGTAATAAGGGAAAAGAAAAAATGTGAGATAAAGAAAAGATGGAAATAAAGTGTTTGCAGATGGGGAGGGGAGGAGGGAGGTGAAGGGAGGGCAGGGATAAGGGGGAAAAATGAGAACCGAGACTTGTCATGTAGAGGTACAAGATCCCAACAATGAATGTAACTGTACTGTATCCCTAAAATGTACCAGTAAACTCAATTAAAGCTGAAAAAATAAAAAAATAAAAGTTCCATGCAAAGGCCCTGGGTCCAATCGTGATGCCACCAAAAAAAAAAAAAAAAAAAAAAAAAAAAAAAAGGCTCTAAAATCCTACATTATCAAAATAAATTCAGAATATTATCACTATGGTGGAGAACACAGGGACCATTGTTCTGACTTTGATGTTCAGAAATAGTCTATATTACATGATGTCATACCAAAATGGAAGTAAAAGGAAACACACATCTAAGAAACAGGAAAGTCCTTGATGGTGTTGCTCCTCATTTGTACTGGAAACATCATCACACATATCGAAGTAACTGAGAAACACTGTTGCAGTGAAGGCTTGAACTCAAAAGCACTGGGTTCATTATATTATATAAGATAGAATCCTAGAAAGCACTGTTTCAACTTCTGCATTTTAAGTACTAGCTAAGTAAGGAAATTAAGGGCAAAGATTATTAAAATTTAAATTCACTGAGCAATACTTGAAGACCAAAGCCCTCATGCTCCAGTGATAATGACATGATCATAAATATCCAACTGCTATGCTCATGAAGTGACAAACAGATCCTGTAAAAGGATTAATTAACGTGCTCAGTATACACATCTAGGATTCCTAAATATAAGAAAGATAAACCCAAGTATTCCAATAGAAATGTGGTGAAAAGCACAGAATACTCACCACTCATGAACACAAAGCAAAAAAAAAATTATACAAACACCCAAAACTATGAAAAATTTGCTGGTAACCAAAGAGATGTGTGTTTGTGCACTGTGGTCATTCTGTCAAATTCCAATTTAAAAAATGATAAAGTCGAGTTGGAAGGTACAGTGTGCTGGCTGAACTACAAATTCTTACAATCTCTGCAGAAATAGGTGGCAGTTTGTGTCATTGACTTCAAATATCCCCATTTTTATATGGCAGTCTATACCTAGGCAATAACCAGAGTGGCACACAATGGTTTATGCACAAGAATGTTTCTAGCATCGTTAATAATGAAAATGTCCAACAATGGCAACAAGTAAAATAAATCATGTGAGATTTAAACCGGTCCCCTCTGAGCAATTACAGTCACAATCATGCTTTTTGTTGGTGGTGGTGGTGGTGGTTTGTTTGTTTGAGATAGAGTTTTGTTTCACTACCTGTGCCTGGACTCAAGCAATCTTCCTGCCTCAGCCTCCCAAGTGCTGGAATTATAGGCATGCAGCACAGCCTGATTTCTCTAGGAATATGTTTGAAAATGTTCTTTAAGAATATTATTTTAAACAATAAGTTGGAATTGAAGTTATAAAATAAAACACTAGGACATTTCAGTAACTGCCCACCACAGCCATAAAAGATAAATTTTACATAAGAGTTTAAAACTTTCCCAGGGTAAAAAATTCTTGGGAACAAAGGCAAAAATAGACTAGAAGCTATTTGCAATGTAAGCAGTCAGAAATTCACAATTATAATTCACCCATATAATCCACAACAAAAAAGCCAACCATAGAAAAATGAGCAAAAGTATAAACAGACAAGTTAAAAAATACAAGACATAATTTCCTGAGAAATGGGAAAATTTCTCTGGCTCACTGGAACTCAGGAAATGCCCATTAGAAACTGAAAGAACAATTCCCCAGACCGATAGGATGCTACGGAAACAGCTTTGCAAAACATTCAGGGAAGCAGGGACATTTGCACACCCAAGACAACGCTGATAAAAACCAACAGCGGATGATCACGCGATAATATCTATTAAAACACTAATGAACTTCTGGTTCTGGGTGTGGCTGAGTAGGTCAAACTGACCTTCCAGGACACAGCAACTATAAATCTGAGGGAAAGTGCCATCTGTATGATATACATAACATGATATATACAACAAAACATAAATGTAGCAAATATATTGAGGACAATATAACAACTGGACCAAACTTTTTTTTTTAATATTCTGAGACAGAGGGGCCAGGGATTTAGCTCAGCGGTTCGGTGGCCTACCTTGCAAGCGCAAGGACCCAAGTTCAATCCCCGGTACCAAAAAACAAAAAAAACAAAACTATTCTGAGACAGGGTCTCACCAATTTCCCCAAATTAGACCCAAACTTACAATCCTGGACATTTAAGCAGGGATCTGACTCTTGAAAGAAGAGAACCATAACTGTGACTCGTGTCTACACAGCCTTGGGCAGGCAGGTGCGCCACGGTCCCCGCGGCCCGGCACAGACATCTCCAGCAGACAGCCACACTTTTACAGGTCTGAGGAGTAGCTAAGAACACAGCAATGTAAATCAAGTGAGAATAAAATACTGAAGGAGGCGGGAACCTCGGAGGGGAAATCCACAAATCCGTCTCTGGCTGGACCTGACCTCCACACACAAGATGGAAGGAGCCCTATGGGAAAGGGCAGCAGGAAGACCAAGATTCCCCATCAAAGGTGACAGCTGCTGGCCGCCACAGGGAAGGCGGAGTCTGAAGACTGGGTCAGCCAAGTAAATCGCTCGCCAGAACAAAAATGAAGATTCTTCAAAGGAGAGTAACTGACTTCAGCGTCATCCAATATATTCAGTAAATACTCCACGGTTATTGGTCATGCATGCAGAGAAAAATGAAACAAAACTGGACATGAGACCCATCAATCGTGAGAAAATATGTCCCAGAGGAGACAGGGCTTTAAAGAACCTATGGGAAGTGTGTGAAAAGACAAAGAAAAAGGTGGTCACAGTGAGCTCACAATAGAGAATTCACAGCAGAAAAATGAACCATCTCAGATTCAAGCCTGGACAGCTTAGTAAATTAGCAAGACCCATCTCAAAATAAAAAACAAAAAGGGCCAATGAAATAGCTCAGTGTGAAGGCCCCGGGTTCGATCCCTAGTAACATAAAAAATGAATCCACAGGAAGACCCACGATGGATCCCTGTGCTGTCAGTGAGGACACGAGCAGGGACAGCAGCTGCATTGGCCATGTTAGAAGAAAGCGAGGCTTCCGGGCCACCCTCTGTGACCACAACCTCTGCACCCTGAAGTCCAGGGCAGGAGGCAGCTGGTCCAGAGCCAGGCCAGTCTGTCAGCTTGGCTGTTTAGGGCCAAGTAAAGAGCCTGCTGGCACAGACACGCTCTTCAGGGATAGTAACAGCATCCCCATCCCAGAGCTCTCCCGTGGGCGGTGGAGGCCCTGTCACAGGAGGCCCGTCTTCCATCTCCATCCAAATGCGTCTGTGCAGGTCTTCCTCCCAGCCTGCTTCGGGCAGCCAGGCCGCTCTCCTCCACCCCAGTCTGTGTGCATCAGAAGCTCAGGTCACTTCTGCACAAGGCAGGTGGCCAGGTGCACAGCTCTGTCTCCGGGTGCATGCTGAGCTGGCTCTTCCCTTCCGTCTTGTCACACTGCACAGTCACAGGAGCTCTGCTGTCCTAATGGGTGGTGCCAGGAGCTAAGAGTCATAGCAGGCCAGAGTCATCCCCCTCCGGTGAAGGGACTGTGTCCTCCGAGCTCCACCTCCCTCAGACAGTGGGTGTGGACAGGGAGCTCACACTGCAGGGTCTGCCCGAGACTGCCCAGGGGCCACCCGCTGACCACACCCTGATGCCAGGCTCCAACTCCGGCCCACATTCCAGGCCCAGCGAACCTCAGATGTGAGCAGATAAACAATGTGTCCTAAGTGTGATGGAAATAGACAGTGTGATGGAAATAGAAAATTTTAAATTTAAAATTTTTAAAAATTGAATACAGGAAAACACATTGATATGAATCTGCCTCAAAGCCTTCTCCCTCACCTTAAACATGCTTCCCCTACCAACCTGGCTACCTTGTGAGTCAGTTCTGAAAGTTCCCTCTCATGTCATTACCAGGTATAAGCAAACACACTACAAATGTTGCTGCCAAGTGCCATCCAACAGAAAAGGAGGCTGACAAAAGACTGCGATTTCCTTTCTTGTACAATCTTTGGATTTGAATTGTTCTTGTTTTCCTAGGATCTTGAGGTACATCACTAAGTTATTTATTTGGGTTTGCTGTTTTTCTGATATGGGCATTCAGAGCTATGAGCTGTCTAATTTATTCCTGAATTTCTTTTATAATCCATTGATTACTCAAGAATGTATTGTTTAATCTGCATGTGTTTGCATAGTTTCTGGCTTTCTTTTGCCATTAATTTCTAAACTCATTGTACTATGATCTGATAATGTGCAGGGAATGATTTTGATTCTTCTATATTTATTTAAGCAAGCTTTATAGGCTACTGTGTAGTCTATTTTGGACAGACCTATGTGTGCTGCTGAGAAAATATGACTTCTATTGTTGTTGGATAGAACACTCTGTAGACACCTATTAAGTCTGTATGGGCCAACTTTGATGTTTTTGGTTTTTTTGTCTAATTGTTATATTTGTGATGGAGGGGTATTGAGCTCCCCATTGTAAGTGTGTTCATATTTATCTCACCTTTTATGTCCAATTGTGTTTGTTATGAGGTTGGGTGGGCCGCTGTTTGGTGCTTATATATTTATAATTGTTATCTCTTCCTGTTAAATTGAAAGGGAAGGAGTACAGCCAAACTCACTCCTTGAAGCTAGCATTAACTTGATCCAAAACCAGACAAGAACTTAACTAAAAAACAAATCTACAGGCCAAACTTTTTAATGAAGCAAAAGTCCTCAACAAGATACTGGCAGACTAGAGGGTAGTTGAGAGTCATGTTTCCAGGCATGTGTGATCTGCTGTAAAGGTTCAGATCACCTGGAACATCACACTGCTTTTGTATATGTGACATAGAAAGAGGCCAATATTGAGTCAATAACTGCAAAATAATGCAAGGATATGAGCAGTGGGGGGTAATGCAACTGATACCTTAAAAGAAAAATAAGCAGATATAACATCTGTGTATGTACAATATGCACGTTTATAAGTGGATAAAGCTCGATTCCTAGAACATGTAGTAAAAGAAAAAAGTGTAAACACATATCCCAATGCCAAGGAACTACTTTGTAGGGAAACAGTCACTCATCTGCGCAACTTGCACAGACAAGGATTTTAATGGCAACAGTGTTTTAATATAAACAAAAGAGACCAAACCAAAGTCTCTATCAACAAAGGGACAGCTCAATAAACTATAGCAGTCATGCCATGAATAAGTAGTTTAAAAGAATGAGGTAGCTCTCACATGTACCTACATGGAGAGGACAGGCAACACAAGCAAGGTAGAAAAAAACACAGAATTGGTAACATTTATGAAAAAGTATTAATAAAAATGCATGGAAGGAAACATGCCAACAAGTTAGTAGTAATTAGCTCTGGGTAATGTCTGTCTTCTTTTTCACACATTTTATGCATTTTTCAAGTGAGCTACCTTGAGACTATATACTTTAAAGACATAAACAGTTTTAAAGACATAACAGTTTTTAAACAGTACTAAAGATGTAGAAAATACTTTGGGCCTATTATAGGATTTGCTCTTTTATTTTTATTCTTCTTCATTTTTTTTTTTTTTTTTTTTCCCCAGGGTCTTACTGTGTACTGCAGGATGTCCTTGAACTTACTGCGTAGCCCAGGCTGGCCTCGAACACAGCAGTCTACCTGCTTCAGCCTCTTGAGTGCTACAATGACAGGCATGCCCCACCACACC